CCTGCCTCTGCCTCCCGAGTGCTGGGACTAAAGGCGTGCGCCACCACCGCCTGGCTTTTTGCAATCAGTTTTCTTAGCTGCACTCTCTAGCCCCCTTGAAAGAGTATATTTTTAATGGACCTAAGGAAGCAGAGGCAGGGATTTGCTTGAGTTTAAGGCCAGCCTGGGCAAAAGTGAGACTATGAAAACACAAAATGGCTGAAATCAATACTGAAAATTCATATTTACTTTATTTTATGAAGATGGGTCTCTGATGTATCTTCCAGCCTTCTCTGATACTGTCTTTCTGAAGCTTTTCTACGGTAGACGTCATCTGTATCAAACAAAAATTTTAAGAAACTGAGTTGTTTTTTGTTTTTTTTTTTCTGTTTTTTGTTTTTTTGTTTTTTTTTTTCCCGATACAGGGTTTCTCTGTGTAGCTCCTTGGAGCCTATCCTGGCACTCGCTCTGGAGACCAGGCTGGCCTCGAACTCACAGAGATCCGCCTGCCTCTGCCTCCCGAGTGCTGGGATTAAAGGCATGTACCACCAATGCCCGGCGAAACTGAGTAATTTTTAAAAAGAGACTAGGAGTCTTTCTCCATGGCAGAGTGTTTGTCTAGCATATGGAAAGCCCTGAGTGCAATTTCCAGCACAGCAACTAAAGATCAGTAGGGTTTAGAAACAGCCCCATGGCAGTAAGTCAACCAGTAGTCTGTCTTGACTGCCTGAATCTTAATATTGTGTAACTTAGTGGCAAATAAACAATTTAACAGAAAATAAGATGAATGAGTGCTATGTTGAGTCTCAGATAACAAAAGAGTAAAAATATCAGTGTTTCCAGAGACTGACTCATGTCCCAGAATCATGTCCTGGCATATCTTTCTGTTCTCCAAATTTCCCTTGCCCCCAGGGCTCTCTTCTGCTTCCTTTCCAGGGTCCCAAAACCTGAGTAAGGAGGAAAGTAATGTTCCTTGTCCTCAACGGCTGTTTTTCCAGACTAATTTTCTACCCTCAGGTAAAAAACATGTTCCTTTTTAAAGTCCTCTTTTTGGGGCTTGTTATTTGACTGCCGTCTTCTCTCTCACTCCATCACTGGTAACACTGGCCACCAGCTCAGAGTTATTGTCTCTTCATCTGTGCCTTTTTAGCACCCATATTCTTGGGGTGAGGTGCCAGCCCTTTGGCCTCTTTATATCTCCTATTAGTGTTCCATGGAAATAAGTCTGCTCAGACTACAACTTCTGCTGTTCCACTCCTAGCTTCCCTGTCCTTGAACTCACCACCACCTCCTCCTGGTCCTTTGGCCTTTGTCTCCCTCTCTCCCTGCCAAACCAACTGAAGTTCCTTCACATTCTACTCACTATCTTAACTTCTGGACAGCCCTCCAAAACCCCAACCAGAGATTGCTCCAACTGCCTCACTTTTCAATTCATGCTGCTTGAGGTACCCCTAACTGATTCCATTAACATGGCTGAAAGCCCGTTCCTCAGCCCTGAATGACTAAAACCACTCCCTTCTTTCTCAGAGAAAAGCCAGGCATTGGTGGTGCACGCCTTTAATCCCAGCACTTGAGAGGCAGAGACAAGCAGATCTCTGTGAGTTCAAAACCAGCCTGGTCTCCAGAGCAAGTTCCAGGACAGGCTCCAAAGCTACACAGAGAAACCCTGTCTTGAAAAAAACAAAAAAAGAATAAAAGAACTCTGGCTAATTTTTAAGACTGATCCCACTGGGCACTAGTATTTCTAAAGTGCAGTCTTCCAGCCCCCAACCCCCCACTCCTTCCCACACACACACTTTCCTTGAAGATTGAATCCAAAATTTCCTGCATGCCAAAACAAGTACCAAGTGAGGTACAGCCTATTTCCAGCACCTACTTTCGTCAGCATTTGCATGTCCTTCAGCCTCTCCTAAGCAGATGGTCACCTCCCCCTCACAGTTGTATTTCCTTATCAGCTGTCTTCAAGTGTTCCTTCTGACCACTCCAAGTCACCTTAAATATATCTGACGCTTCCATCACAGTTTAGCTGAAAGGCCTGCAAATCCAGAAGTCTGGCCCAAACTGTCCTCCATCGCATCATGTCCTCAATGGCACCCAGGATCAGCCTGCCTATGTTCTGCACCTTAAGCTTCCCTTGAGAACAGCCTCAGCTGTTCCTTGAGAAGTCTCCATGCCCCATCTCAGTTACCATGCTCAGCATTACCTCTAGGGTGCCTCAGCCCCACCCACTTCCTGGCATTCCTTTTGCCCCTTAGAATAGACCATCTCAAATCTGGCCAACATACATGGCCTGTGTTTCTACCAATCTCTCCAAAAAGAACCCTTTCAATCATTAAGATATATTCTTATTGTTCAGTTCTTTTATGGCGCTACCCTTCTATCCATGTCACCTGTCACTTAACCCTGCTGAAATCCTTCAAACAGCATACACAAAGGCTTCCAGGTTTCCCTTACCACTGCCATGAAGTCCATTTCATAGATCTTCCCCGTCTGGTTGACAGTCCTAAATGCCTAGCTTTTCCCAAAAGCCTTCCCACACCTGATCCAATGAGGTACCCAAGCAGGATTCTTGAACTACTCACACTCCTCATTGCATGCTTAATGGGGGAAACAGGGTGGAAACTGATCTTGGGCCTATGTGAGTCAAGTAAGTACTCTACCACCAAGCTACACCCAGTCTTATTCCCATGAGCTTCTGAAATGGAGAATCCTTTGCCTTCTTCACTAGATCATCATGTATGGTCATTAAATACCGAGTGGTGGTCCATGCCTGTAATCCTAGCACATGGCTGAGGCAAGAGAATGGCTCCCAGGCCAGCACTGGCCCTTTATCAGAGTAGAAAGAAATCAATGAAGACTTTGACGTAACAACTTAAAATTTTTGAATTGGCAATTCTCAAGTGATAAAGTTACATAAGAGGCAAAACAGAAAGCCCAGGGGTTGGGAGAAATCATAAAGGGAACTAGCAGTGCGAAAGGCAGTCCACAGAGATGCCATTCTTTTCAGTTCTGGGCCAAAGACACAGTACTGACTGCCTATAAAGGTGATAATCAGATAAACCAGGCAAGCTAGCGTCCTCCAGAGTTTGGGTTGAAAGACCTCAATGGGCAGGTGACTTAACCGGAATTTCTGAGTCCTCAGAATTGGTCCCTCTTCCGCATGTGAGCAATCCTGTTCCTTAGGCTTAGCGTCACCACAGGCAGGGCCAAGGACAGGTTACAAAGGACAACAGTCTGAGTGGAGGCACGTGCCCTTTTAAAGTGCCGGGGTTGGAGGACTGGGTGCCAATATGAGCAAAATGCAAGAGCCCCGAGGGCCCCCAGTCCGTGCTGCACGAGAACTGCCAAAAGAGTAAGAGCACTTGTCCTTCGGACTAAAGGAAAGTAGCTCTGCAGCTGAGTGGAATCAGCGGCCTGTAATCGCGTACCTACAGGAGAAACGGAGGCTGCTGCACCCCCACTTACAGAAGGTCTCCTGGCCCACGCGCACTTTAATCATGATCCACTCCATTGTTCCTCCCAGGACAAAAAAGAAGGGCAGGAACCTGTAGATGCCGAATCGCTGCTTCCCGGGCACCCACTGCAGAGCTCGCCTCACCTGGGCCCTGGAGAACATGACCGAGGCCTCGAAGTGGGGTACGGGCTGAACCAAGCGAACTATTACTCCTGGAGGAAGTAGGAACAGCCCTGCTGGTCCAGCTGTGACCCACGGACTGAGAGACCCAGCTACTGCGACACTACCGGGCCGCGAGAATTTGGTCGCAGAAGCTGACAGACCTCAGAGCAAGGTAGCTCCGCCAATCAGAGTGTGGCGGGACGCTCAGTCTCCCCAATCAGTGTGCTGTTGGGGCACGCGTGCTCTGTGAGCCTGAGGAAGCCTGCGCAGGCGCCTAGGCTCTGGAGGCGGAGCAACCTCAGGGGGCGGAGTCTCCAACGTGGCGTGGCCCGCCCCACCCTCAACCTGCCTCAGCTGCTGGGGCTAGGAGTTGATTGCCGCGCCCCCTACTCTGCCATCGCCATCTTTTTTTGTAATACTCTGAGCGAGGTGGCGACCCTCCTTGAAGAAGACAATCTAAAATGCAGTTACGTGACGCCTTCCTTTTATTTCTGGGATGTGACCTGTTGGACTTGGCTTCTAAAATAACAAAATTCGATATGCATTTTTGAAAACTGAACTTTATCAAAACAAAAAGTATAATTGTCCCTGACAAACTATTCTAAAAATAACTTAAATCTATGCTGAATGAGCATTAAATGACAGACTGTGGGATCCAGGAAAGGGTCCTGGATAAACAAACTAAGAGCAGCCTATTATATGCCCTGTACACCAGCGCTGTAGGGCAGGCCGGAAAGAAACCACACACAGCAAATCCCCGAGTCCCCAGCACTTGTTGCCATTTCTTTTGGTTCTGAGGACTGGAAAATGTAGAGCATCCATCCACCTGGAAGAGATTCACATGTGACCAAGTCTCCACAACCCACCTTGGTCACTGTGACCTGCAAGGACTCAGCCAGCCATGAGCCCACCCTTTGGCATCCATAACTACTAGTACCCAGCCCAGGATTGCCACACCAGATCATCTGCCTAGGTACAGGAGAGCTATAAATGCACACATTAGACACCACTTTAAACCCAAGAGCCATCGTGTACTCAGTTGGACAGCTCATCACCAACAAGGCCAACTGGACCAAATCTGTCCTGGTGTACACCTGCAGGCTAAGAAAAAAGTAGGTGGAGTGGTTTCAAGCAGAAAAGAATTTCACTGCTACAGCGCTTGAATAGACCATGGCATTTCAATTGGGGTCTGCACTGTTGGGCACATCCAATTTCCAGAACCAGGCGGCTGCAATGATCTTGGCCCACAGCCACTCACTACTATGCCCAGTACATAGGCTCCTAGTTAAATGTGTCACCCGTGCTGGGTACCAGACAATAATACAAAGAAAAGGCTGGCTGTCTTAGCAAACATCAGCTGCCATGCAGGCTAAGTGGTCTCACCTAGCTTGAGACGGTCACTGCAAGCAGAAATAGCTCTTTGTGCATTAGGTGAATAAAGCGGCCCTAGCTCCAGTCGGGCTTGCAGTCCGACGCGCAGTCGGGTCAGAAACCCGGCAGGGGCGCAGGGCTCCGGGGCAAGAGGTCTTGTCTGGAGGGGAGGGGACGGTAGCGCTAGCTAGGGTCAAGGGGAACCCGGGGCTGAGGGGAGGGACAGAAAGACCGTGGGATGAAGGAGGAGCTGTGCAGCCGGTCCTACTCCTCGGGCCGTCCAGGGCCTCTCTGAGACACCGGCTTT